AATAAAGACTGAAGTGAGTTCCTGGATTTGTTAAGATCTGAACTTTCTTTTCAGCAAAGAGCAAGGTAATGGTGTAAGATGAAGGTAGTTGTCGTTCTTTGAATGTCCAACTGGGTTTCTCAAAGTTTATTTATACACATGTTGAAGCCTATATGATTTTGATAATAAAATACTATGAAACTATAATATCACTGATATTCCAGAAATGCAAGCTAGTATTAGGCTGTTAAATATGACGGTCGGTTGTGTCATAATACACAGTTTACTTCTACATATTAGAGTTAAAACCTCAAAACATTTATTACATTTTCAAGATGTGAAAATGTAAAACTGACTGACATTAAGAAGTCTTCATACGAAACAGGAACATCTGATTTTTCCACAAATCATTTTAATCTGGACATGTTTGAGAAACACAGATCAAGTATTTTAGAGGAAGGTCACTGAATGGTGATCAGAGCAGAGTCCAGACAGTGTTCAGACAACAAACATTTATGCACTGACAGTAAAATGTAACAAATCACTTTGGTCTTGGCCAGATACAGTTTCAATTATGAAGATGACAACAACTTTTCCTATGCCAACTAAAACCCTGAAGTTCTTACAAGATGTCAACAAACGCAGCTAAAAACCTCTCTTAATGTTACCCAAACAGAAGCTTTGTTTTTTTTTTACCAATTAAAAAAGGGCATTCTTTCTTTTGAGTAATAGCATAAAGGAAGGGAATTAAATGTTAAACTGCAGTAAGAACACATCAAGAAAAAGAAGCTCCAATCAAAAGATCAAGTGATTCCTGCTTGGATTACTATCAAATTACATAATGAATCGAAGCCAGTGCTGTATATTTCTGGGCTATCAACATTAACAGGACAACACACATAATGGATGCCAACAAAGAAGCTTTTTTGATTGCACGATAACACACAAGAAATTAAATCCCAATTGCCTATAAAAGGGACTCTTTCACTGATGTGCCTGCAGTTCAGCCCGCTTTCATTAAATCATACTCTTCAATGATCTTTGAGTGCCAGTGAAACAAAGCAGCCTATACTTTGTACATACGCTATGTTCATCTGCATTCACAAAGTCCTTCACTGATTGCCTGTAAATATGGCCCATTAGAATCAGAGCTATGTCAGTAAGTCCTCTCAGTCTGTGGGCTTAATCAGGTGAAGAGGCTAATCAGAGCTCCTCCTGGAGAGTCAGTTCTGCCAGTTCTTCAGTGATTGGACACAGAGAAGCCTGGATGAGCACTGGTGGACCTTAGCTGGCACTCGGGGTTTCTGTGGGCGATGCGCTGTCAGGTGAGGCGTCAGCATCAGGTGTAGCATCAGCAGCAGGTGTAGTAGCGACCAGGGGAGAGTCAGTTTCAGGGGGCGAGGCGGAGCCCTCAGTCGGGGCAGCAGAACCAGAACCAGAGTTGGACTCTGCTTGGGAGGAGCTTTCTTTATCTTCCTCTTGAGGGTAGAGCTCGGGGTACTTCTGCATGCACTCTTGCATACCGCGGAAGTTGTCGATGCAGTCGGAGCCCTTCAGCTCCTCCTTACTGTAGTGGAAGCAGGAAAAGGCCTCTTTAAACTGAGAGCCGCACGGTCCACTGGCCATGCCGCCAAGGCACGGGCAGTTCCAGTTGATGTCTCCATTAGCCAAAATCAGACCTTAAGGAAAGGAAAGCAGAGGGAAGTAAGTTAAAAGAATAATTGTATGAGGTAATGTTTGGAAGTCTGATATTGTTTTTCCACAATGACTAACCCTGTTCCTCATAAGGATCATCGGGGTCATCTGCAATGAGCTCAGCGTTGCTGGGTGCCTCATGGTCCTCCTTGGTCACAAAGATGATGCGATCCTTACCTTTAATAACAAAACAAATAACCAAATCATGGATTTTTCACATAGCACTTAAAACCAAGTAACAATGTGTTTTACAAAGATGTAAAAAAAAATGGTAGATGATATAAAATATAACTGATACAGTATTAATGACAAGCAAGGTATCAATAACTTAAACAGTAAAAATAAGTATTGTCTAAACTGAAAAACAACCAATAACAAGTAAATGTGAAAAGTCCTAAAAAAGCATCAGTACCATTTAATCCAGTCTGATCTCTGGATCAGTTCTCCAGTGTTGAGATGCTAAGCTAGGTGTAATGTGGAGTCTTCATAGGGGATTGCCTTAGTTACTGCAGCCTATTTGACTTGTTAAATCTTGGAGAGGTTGACAAGAATTCAGCAACAACAAACATGGGCTTATAGATTCCTACATGTTTTTGAGATATGACAAAGGTGCAGAAAGCGTTATTAAATGACAGACTTCACCTGTTGGTAAAAGTCACATTTGTCATCTCTCCTCTGGACATATGTTGACTTAACAGGTGTGTAGCTCAAATACAAATTAATGTTGTAGCCTTCAGTTTGGAAATGGGTGTGGCCAGAGCAAGGTCACCGGAAGTAATGTTTGTTGTAAGAAAGCTTACACATCTTCCGGCGACGACTGAAAACTCATCTCTTTAGACTCCACTTCGAGCGATTGAATTACTAACAAAGCACTTATATACTAATAAAGGGCTGGCTTTTCTAAAGCCAGTTGAGTAGCACTTGAAATGTTTGGCTCTATGAAACCTGATGTACTTATATAATTCTGTTTTCTTCAAGGTTGTATCTTCCTGGTCGAATGCACTTNTTGAAATCAGGACAGCAGAAAGCTTACACATCTTCCGGCGACGACTGAAAACTCATCTCTTTAGACTCCACTTCGAGCGATTGAATTACTAACAAAGCACTGCTAACAAAGCACTTATTAACTAATAAAGGGCTGGCTTTTCTGAAGCCAGTTGAGTAGCACTTGAAATGTTTGGCTCTATGAAACCTGATGTACTTATATAATTCTGTTTTCTTCAAGGTTGTATCTTCCTGGTCGAATGCACTTATTGTAAGTCGCTTTGGATAAAAGCGTCAGCTAAATGTAATGTAATGTAAAGTAAGGGGGAAGGGGTGGGGAAGACGACATTTCCTCCTCGACTTTACTGGCGTTGCTATGATCCCATCTCAAGATTATATCATTGTCTTCATTTGCTATGTTACAGCAAGAGCAACCAGAGTCAGTTCAAATGTATGATAAATAAATAGACTGTACACAAATAAACTAAAAATGCTCTCTACTAGTTTATATTTCGAGTAGAAGTAGAAAACCAGTTCACGAAGCTGGTTAACAGTGACCCCTGTGGGTGCACTGTGCCAGTAACCTGGTTTAACCTGACCTGTCAACTGATAGCCCTGGACGTACCACCAGGTTCAGAGCTAGCCCTTTCTACCAATGTCTATCAAAGGTGTCCGATCAAATTACGACCATGACCAATGTGTTTTATCACAACAATGCGAACACCCTTAATAATAAGCCTCATTCATTTGCATGCAGCTTCCTCGCTACCAGCCATGTAACTGTTAGCTAACTTACTGAAATACCCGGCTTCTTCTAGAAGTTAGCCTAGCATGGTGGCTAACTCGGTGACATTGCCAAGCAATGGACATGGAGTGAACATGAATGAAGGAGATTTAGATTACCTTCCTGTTTGCAGTACGACATGTCTGCCGCTGGTTCAGTCCGTTGCCCTCCGTGGTAGAAGATGACCGGTGTGACAGCAGAAATTACTTAAGTGAAACCGTCTCATCTGACTAGATACCCGCGGATACCCGGCTTCCAAACGGCCCCGTTACCCCTCTGACCCTTCGGTCACATGTGGTCGCACAATTATGACGTCACTCGACTGTCATGACTTATATGGCAACTGTGGGCGTCATTTGTGCTGGGGACATGTTTCGGAAATGGCCAATTTTATCCCCACCAAATTTGTAAAGTATAACTTACAAATGTTCTGAAAAATAGCGTGCACAAAGAAATATAATAAACAAGAACACTGGGTTTAGTGTCAAGATGTGAAGTAAGTCAGAGTTAATTTTCTTTTGCTATATTTCTTTCACGTTTTATATGAAATGTTGTAAAAAAAAATACTATTTATTTCGCTTTACAAAAAAAAAGTTCATATTAAATGTCTTTATATATATTTGTATTATTGTATTATGCATTATATTCTTATTTTGTATTTAATGTATTGTCTGTTCGACCCTTCAGGAGGGGAGTCGTGTCTGCCAAACCTGTTTGTAGGGCAATATATATCTGATAACTAACCCTACACATATTCTATTTTGTATTGTAAGGGACAATGAAATACAAAGGTGAATTAGGGTCAAAATGTACATTACATGTCACTTGTTAGATGCTTTAATCCAAAGCAATTTACATACACTCAATATTGTGGGCAATCCCCACAGGAGCAATATGGGGTGAAGAGTCTTGGTTGGAACCAGAGCTTCCCTGAAGATCAACGCACCACCCCAATGAGTGAGAGCCTCCCCAATGTTTAATGTTTAAAATGTTATGTATTCTAAACTATCACCCAATTAAATGTTATCAATGCACTGCCTCATACCATATATTTTATGATTCTCTTTCTTCAGATCAAAGGATTGCTAAATGAGTTAGATAACTGCAATTCTAGTTCGTTTTGTTTCATCCATCTTATTCATTACAGTTTTCATTGTCACATTAAAGCTCTGTCAGTAAAGATTTGATATAAACATTGGATAAAATGTAAGGAGGTACTGATGCATCAGAACCTTTATATATACAGTCTATGATCAGAACATACAGTCCAATAGCAAAATCCCTCGTTATTTTTTACTCTCAACTACTCGAAGTGTGGTCATATTGAACTTCCTACATGGACCTCTGGTGGAAGTTAAGTGCAAGGTACAACCTAATTAACCTACAGCCAGGTTATAAATCGCAATATATGGCTAATAAATATCTCATCTCTAGAGGGTAACATCAGTGCAACAAACTTGAGGGATCAGTAACGTGTGTGTTGTGTCCCCAGTGGTCTCAAAACATGCAGGCTCAAAGCACAACAAGGGCATAATAGGAATAAAAACACATTTTCAAGTATGTTGGAAAAAAATCTTGTTTTTTTTTTAATAACACAATGTCTGTTACATAAAGTAAAAACCAAAATGAAACCCTTTCTCATCCCTATCAAACCCACCCTCATCCCGACCACGTCGGCAGTTTTGTGCAGCAATACAGTCTGGGAATAAAAGAGCATGACGACACAGACACACACTTTCCTTTGAGGACCCAGACAGAGGACAAACACATTTGCCCTACATAAGACCAGAGTGAATATAAACATAGTCCATCATTAAAAATAAAACCATAGACGACTTTGTCTGAGATTACCAGAGACCTCATCAGGAGTGCAAGCATATTATATTTATACTGTTCAAACCCTACTATAGGCCCCCAGAAACCTCAACCATGATTGCTACTTTGAGATGAACCTGACATGGCTTTCCTTCAACTCCCCCAAAAAGTCCAGGCAGTGCTTTCAGCTTAAAATTAGCACTATCACGTCATCTCTGTCTTAGTGTTCCTTGAACATGCGGCGATGAACAATGCCCGAGGTAAATCAAAGACAGCTCCTCACACTGATGTGCTTTTAGGCATTTTTCAGCTTTTAAGACAGTCAGTGGGGACTTAGGCAGCCTGCTGGGAAAACGGTTTCAACTGCTAAAAAAAGTAATGGTGGAAAACACAGATAGCGTAGACAATAAAAAACCTATTCCAGCTGCAAAATGAACTGATTGTGCGAAATTGCAAAAAATTGCAAAATTAAAATAATGATGGGGGGCGGGAGGATGCTTTGTGTCTTAAGTGTGTCCGAAGGTTGGTATTTTTTAGAAGAGCAGTGCTCCCATGCTGCCCATTTCGCTCTGCTCCTTCACAAAGATTTCAAAGTACTGGTAGATGATGGTCACAGCCAAGAGGATTCCTGTCCCCGAACCAATGGCCCCCAGGAAGTCAGCCATGACGGACAGCCCTCCTATGCAGAGGCCACCGAAGGCAGCAGCTGTGGGGATGTACCTGTGAATAATAAATCCAGCGTCAATACAACAAATATTCTGAAGGACAACTTTCCATATGCTGCAGGTAACACACATGCCATCTGAGACTCAGAATGCTTTGTACCTGTTCAGCTCATGCACCATGGAGGTCTCTCTGTGTCCCCTCATCACCATCTGCTGCTCCTTCAGCTGCTTCGCCACCTGACACGCACAAAGTGATACATGAGGGTTAATTTCATGCGGGATTGATGCAAAGCAAAGTCGTCAATGCTTTTGTAAAAGCACAAGACTTACATCTTTAGCAGAAGATCCTGAGACCTCGATCCAGGTCTTTGAGAAGAAGGCGCAGGAGCCGAGCATGAAGACGATGTAGATGGCAGCGTGAACCGGGTCGTCCAGGACCGAGCCAAACGACTCCGGAGGGGAGAGGTAGTAGCAGAGCCCGGCCACAGGGTAGGCTCGAGCAGGTCCACCACTCGTTGCATCCTAATCACAATGAGATATTATAAATAAGACGATGCCGGTTCAACACGAGAGACAGAACCCAACCGTTCCACATTTATGAAAATTAGGGATGCCAGAAACTGACCATGATCAAAATCGAAAATCGGACAGCCCTGGCGAATAATGATCGATTATTCGATTCCCCCCCCCCCCACCCCGCCGACGAGAGAAAAAAAAGAACTCTTAGCATTTGTACCTCATTTACACTTGTTCAGTTTGTAAGTAGTTTCCACGAGGAACTCTTCTTTCCTTTGTTCATCTTTAGTTGTGTTCTCACTCCAATAAATCAATCGCACGTGTGACGGAGAGGGGGGGGTGACCAATGGCCATTTACAATTATTAATACCATTACTATTATTAGCATTAGTCTATATTTTGGTTGAAACTAAGCCAGAAATAAAAAAATAAAACATAAATAATAATTAAAAAAAAATATAAAAAAANGCGAGAGAGAAAAAAAACTCTTGCATTTGACCTCATTTACACTTGTCAGTTTGATGTAGTTCCACGAGGAACTCTTCTTTCCTTTGTTCATCTTTAGTTGTGTTCTCACTCCAGAATATAAAAAAAATCGAATTTGTTTTTGATTATGGAGACTGTAACCAACGAATAATCGAATAATCGCTGGCATCCCTAATGAAAATACCACATTTTAACTGCATGGTTTCAGCTAAACTCACTTTTGGTACCCGTTCTATTTCTGTATTTTGTTTCCCACTAAGGATTGTTCCCCTTAGTGTAAGAGAGATTCTCAGCTGATCACCTTAACAACACCATGTTCAACTGCACTGACACATTCAGCTGAAAACTTGTTAAATACTTTCACCATAAAAGAGGAATGTCTGCACTCCAAAACAGATTGTGAGCGCTTAAGAGGGTAGCTTTACCATTTAATAATTGTAGATTTGTGTAGGGCCATGGTCTCCAGGGTTTTATATTCACTCTTTAGTATCGGCTCAGATCACTTGGAGCCTTGTCCCAGTGGGTACCAAAAGCAAGTACAAGATATTATCCAAAACTCTTGCTAGTTTAAAATCAAAAAAGTCAAGCTGTACTATACTGTGCGGTGGAAATGCAGCATAATATGTAATTCAATCTCCTCTAGTTAAACATAGACTAAGACTGGATATATCTATTGTCTCAAGCATTATACGCACCACAGAAGTGTCACCAATTCTAATAATAGTGTACCGTTGAATCTGATTGAATAAACGTGCTGGAGGTGCAGCTCAACTGTCATACTTACAGACCAGGTTCCTAGGAGGTTCACGAGGAAGTTCCCGCTAAAACGAGTTGAGAGCATCTGAGAGATGACGTAGAGGTTGGAGACGAGGGCAGACTGCAGGATGATGGGGATGTTGGAGGTGTAGAACAGTTTGATGGGGTAGGTGTTGTACTGACCACGGTAGCGTGCTGACTTGATGGGCAGGTCGACCCTGAAGCCCTGGTGAGGTAAAGAAGCGCGCCATCAGTAATGCCATCCAAATTCTTTCAGTGCAATAACATCAGGTAAGACTCTTAGTGGCAGCTCACCTGGAAGTATATGACCACAGCAAACACGAAGACGGTGGCGATGAGGTTCAAGATGTTAGGCAGGTTCTGTCTGTAGAAGGCTTCTCTCAGGGCGCGCACCTTGTCTGTGCGGGTGGCCAGGAGATGGAAGAGGGCGATGATGGCTCCCTCAAACTCAGTACCTGAAAAACAACAACAGTGACAGTGTTAGCCATTATAATACGGATTAATATGCATATCTGTTACCGTCACTAGCTTGAAATACCTCTGCCGGTGTTGACCGTGGTGGGGCTGAAGGCCTTCCAGACGATGGTCTCACAGATGTTGGTCGCAATGAAGAGAGAGATACCAGAACCCAGACCATAACCCTTCTGGAGCAGCTCGTCCAGCAGCAAGACGATCAGACCTGCAACGAAGAGCTGTGGAAAAACACAGGAGGTTAGTATTGGGCTGAGACAGAAACAAACAGCCATTTAAAACAAGAGAAGATAACAACTTTCTGATTTCTGACTATCCCACAAAGGAAGATGATAAAATTGTATCTTAAATTTGAAAAAATATTTCTAAATTTGTTCGAAAGTAATGCAAAGAAAAAACATGAACTGCAGAAGAGCAAACATGCTTTAAATTCAGTTTGATTGGCAGATTACTGTAAAGAATAATAAAGTAACATTTTTGAACGCTTAAGTTTTTAGACACCCTAAATTAGCTTTATCCTAATTTATTTTGAGTTTGTATTAACCTGGATGATGATGAGCAAGCAGATCCCAGCGCCCATCTCTGAAGGGTCTCCATACATGCCGGTCATGACGTAAACAATGGCCTGTCCGATGGTGATGATCATTCCAAACACTGCGAAAAGAAAGACAACATGAGTTGCAATTGGCAGGAACAACAATTAGACATTACTGAATACGTGTCTGTTATCTTCAGAGGAAACCAAAACAACTCATTTCAAAGGTTTGTGTCAACTTTTCTTAAAATAGCTAATATGATCAGCAGAAAACCTACATTTCTGAGCTCCATTGAAGAGGGCTCGGTCCTTGGGGGTGTCTCCCACCTCAATGATCTTTGCACCAGCCAGCAGCTGCATGATAAGACCTGAGGTGACAATGGGTGAGATGCCCAGCTCCATCAGAGTACCTGGAGGAAGAAAGCATTATTAGTGTCAGTTAGTATAATAACAGCAGCAGAAACAATGCATACAGCCCTATGTTTGTTGACCTTTGACGTATCACATGTGATGATGAGATTACATCAGGTCTGATAACAACACTGTTGATTATTTCAACTTGTTGGAGCTGCACAGAACTCAGCGGTTAACTCAGTTAAACGTATACAATTCAAGCACCTCTGTTGGAAGCCAGGATTACTCTCATCCAGTAAAAGGGATCTGCCGAATCTGAAGACATGATGCCAAAAAGAGGAATCTGCACAGAAACACATTTGTAAAGTTAGTGTCACAAACGACAATAACAGCTTACAGAAACAGCATGTTGGATGTCATATTTACCTGGCAGCAGACCAGGAAGATGAAAAGTGTAATGGCAGTCCATAGTACTTTTTCTCTAAATTGAATCTGCAAGGAAAAAAGAAAATAAGCAACTGTCATTCACATGCCTTCATATATGAAAAATGAATACAAAATTCAACATAATCATTTTGTTTTGAGAAGACGTAAACATACCTTTCTTTCTGGTTTCTGAATTTCTGGCAAGACCGCACAGAACGGCTTGATGAACTCCAAAAATTTAACTGCAAAAAAAAAAGATTAAAAGTTAAAAAAACAGATGTAACACATGACAGTCCTTATCAGTACATAGCATCACAAATATTTGTGAAATCTGAGTTATTCATCTTCTCAACCGAGTTACATTTGATGCAACGTCATCACTAACCCCCATCTAAACAGCTAACATCTGGACAAAGCAGCAATTAATTCGATTTTCTCAGCAATATCTGGATATACTAATAAATACATCTGAGCAAAGTTGGAGTAGCTAGTACTTAGTGTTTGCAGTCATTTTACACCGTTTTGCAGGATCGCTGCTGAATGTTTTGTCTTAGAGCCGATCAGCTGTTTCAATCACAGGGGTTGACTTTGACAGCAAGCCATTTAACATAAACAACTAAATTATGGTATGGCAGTAGACTAGTCAATCTGGCATTGCAACGTTTTCATTTGAAAACAAGGTGAAACCAGCATCCATTGCTATTTACAGTAAACTATCACGGATGTAGAGTCCATACAGCTAGCATGATGCTAACTAGCCTTTAATCCCAAAATACTTTAAAAGACAGGAATTTTGGACGCGTATTTAAAAGACAAATGCAATGTGTTGTAAATGTGCACTAGTTGAGAATCACATCTGACTTAAACACAAGGAGAAGCAATTTCATTAGAATAAATCTTCAAATTAGCTCAAGCTAGCTGCAACCTAGCCTTAACCTATCCAAGGTTAGCTTAGTAGCTTACCGGCGAACGCTGTAAATTACAACAATGCCTGCTATTGTTCGAGATTGAAAGAAGGCAGCCGGTATATTCAAACAAACTCAAACCGTGAATAAAAGAGAGTAATGCCACTTACTCCCCATGGTGTCCTACGTGCAGCTCCTGTCGTGTTCCTGGTTCAGTCTGAGTGCTGATCGGAGTCAGTGTGGCTCCATCAAGCCGCTCCGGGAGAAAGAGAGAGCAGCAGAGACACGTCACCAGAGTAGCGGCTAACACACGTCACTTCTCTGAGACACACATCAGCAACAAACAGTACATCGTTAAACACACATACAGTCGTTTTCTCATGAGGACAGCATATTTAAGCGGATAAACAAATCCAGTAAACTCGGGAAATGCAGTATTTTAATATTAAACAGTTATAATTTAACCCCTGAAGCCTGAATTCTCCCATCCTCTGGGGGCGCCATACTCCAGAGTCATCATGCTGACCAGAGATGCTATATGGTAAAGATAAGCAGCTGTGCCATATCAAATGATGCACACTAGTTGTCTACTAAATAGGGGTGGTTAGATGTATTTATTTGTATAAATGTATTTATTTTTACAAGCTACTTAACCCTGTAAGGCCCACGCTTTTAATTTTACAACATCACTTTAAGCTATCCTAAAAAAGTCAGTACATGTTTTGTTTTTTTAAAGACCACATTTACATAGTCAAAAGGTATTTTTGTTCAGTTCAGCTTCACAATGCTATTGGTTAGTAAATGTGTTTATAGGTCCTGCCCTCTGGCCATACACTCACACAACTTCCGAATCTTCAAACGAGCAACATCTCTTTGTTTTATTGGACTGGATTTGTCAGATTCAAGTCCAGTAAAATGCCTCAAATATTTGTTTGGGGTGATTTAGTTATTGTGGAATACATTCATCAAATTTGATTTTGAGCAGCTTATGTCTTTGTTGTAATATTACAACACAGTGTGGTAGTCAAAATAGCATGTGACCCTGTCATGGACCCCGCCCTTTTTATATGTTCATATATAGAAATAACACACTAATAGAAATATAATGTCTTTGATAATTCACTATAAGCTCTAGGGGGGCATGCATTCCTTTTAGTATGATAATAGGCTAAGCCAGACAGAATGGACACTTGTCCCACCACCCTATCTATTACTTCAGGTAATCTATTACACGATAATAAGCATATGTATTTATTGATACATATTTATTAATTACTTTTTCCATTTCAGTAGCATAAAGCAATACATGCGAGGCAAGCCACACCCATGGGGGTTCAAAGTGTGGGTGAGAACTGGAATCTCTGGAATGATCTGTGACTTTGATGTGTACCAAGGCAGTGTCAATGGGATACAAGCCAAGTCTGAACTTGGATTGTCAGGTGATGTTGTGATGAAGCTTGCCTCCATGCTTCCAGAAGGTCAGAACTACAAGATCTACGCATACAACTACTTCACCTGTGTCCCATTGGTAGTGAAGCTCCTTCATCGTGGATTCATTATGTGGGAACAGCCAGGCAGGTGCGCTTACCCAACTGCAACCTTCAAGAGGAGAAGAGCTTGAAGAAAAAAGGGAGAGGAAGCTTTGACATCCGAGTGGGGGCCAACCACAACATCTGTGCTATCAAATGGTATGACAGCAGAGCGGTCACTTGTGTCATCCTTTGCTGGACCAGACCCTGTGCAGAGAATTCAACGCTGGGACAAAGCCAACAAAACCTTTCGTAGAAGTTGAGAGGCCTTCCATTGTGGGTACTTACAACAAGTACATGGGAGGTGTGGATTTGTTGGACTCGTTTACGGCCATATACAAGTTCCCCATGAAGTCCCAACGCTGGTACGTGTACATCTTCTGGCACACCATCCTCCTTGCTGTGATCATCGCTCTTCTACAAACAGGAGTGCAAAGCTCTAAAGATGCCAAAGCAGGAGATCCTGACCAGCAGACAGTTTCAGGCAGATCTAGCATCCTCTCTCATCCTGGTAAGAATGCATTTCTGCTATTTGCCATTTGTAATATTTTTTTATATTTCACTGAAATATTTTTGACTTGTATCCTAATGTATATTTGACATGTATCTTGATTGATTCTGTTCTAATCAGGTGAACACAACTCCTCTGAAAACACNCTGTAATATTTTTGACTTGTTTCCTAATGTATTTTTGACATGTATCTCGATTGACTCTGTTCTAATCAGGTGAACACAACTCCTCTGAAAACACCCAACAGAGGACGACCATCTTCAGCCAATGGGAGCCCAGCACCGACGGTGACATCAAGGAGCCCGTTGAATAGTCAGAAGAGACCCTCCTCAGGTGATGGGGGTCCACCAAACGGGGCCCCATCCAAGAGATCACAGCCTCCACTAGATGTACGCAAGGACCTAATGGCACATGTTCCAGTGAAGACAAAGAGAGGACGCTGACAAGGAGTAGACGAAGCACACGTAGAAGGAAGAAGTGGAGCTGGGCTGATCAGGAGGGGAGGCTGGACGTGGCAGGCAGAGAGGCTGGAGGATGTGGATCTGGAACAGGAAAAACAAGCAGGATTAGGAAAGAATTTCCTTTCACAAGGAGCATCAACAAATCACTAGGAGAAATACTAGTAGGCCTGCCTGGACGATAGTTTACCACTGAAGAATAAACGAAGAACTGGCGAAGTCTGAGGATGGGAACCAGGGTCTTAAGCAGGTGCAGGTGAGTAGTGGCAATCAGTGAGATGAGCAGCAGCTGAGGAGGTGAGTTGGCGGGAATCAGAAGTGGGTCAGCCACGCCCAGCCAGGAAGACAATAACAAACACAAAACAAAGAAGAGAAGAAGGAGGAAGTACTGCAGATCCTCACACTACCATTGTATTCATATTTAGTAAATGACTATTCATACAAAACATGACTGATGTGTGATTATTATTCATGCTATACTGCTATAGGGCTAAGTAAGCAATCAATCCTGCAAATCAACCCTTAGTTGTTCAATATATTTATTCAGACAATGTGAGTAGAAATACAGACCCACCTAAGTCCATTTCCCTAAACACTTACCAACATGTGAAAGCTCTTTCATTCTGATAGGCTCCCTACAACTACACCTGAAAGGTCAACAACAAAACTAGAATGTTTTTCTATATGTGGGCTTTACGGGGTTAAAGTGAAGTTGTGTGTTGTCTGGGTTTGCTTTCGCTGCCACGAGTCTTGGTCGCACAGTGATCATACTTATACCATTGGAATCTATGGATTCTCAGCTTTCACGTGACATCTATACTGAAAAAAAAGGCTGTTGGATTCACATGATTTTCACATGGTTTCAGAATGTACCACTTCCATCAAATTTGCAGAATTGTCTTTATCTAATTGTGCTACTTCAAAATGTCCGTTCTTCCCCCAGATTAGAATGTTGGGGTGTTTTTATTTGTACTACTTTCTTTACTGCGGTGAGAAACCAAGCCATTATTATACTTTAATGCTTTCTTGCATTAAAGTGCCCTTTCATATTAGCAGATTACTATTTCAATAATGGATTTGCAAGAACATTTAAAAACAAATAGTCAATAAAGACAAACACATTTATTTGAACAACATTCATGTATTTCTCCAAAAAAATAAAACAATATTAACAACCAACCACACATCCAGATGAGCTTTTGGTTTTTCCATCATGCAGCCCCAGGAAAATTAACAAATACATTGAAAATAAAGAAAGAGAATAAATAAAAAATGTGTGTGATGCATGTATTAAATTACCTTGCCTGTATTCAGTGATGTCGTCTATTGTAAATATGTACATTTGTTTTTGTATAACAATGTAGTGGTATTTGTATTCTTGCTTTTAGGATGCCTCACCATCTGAGACTATCGGTGAAAACTAGCCTGTTGGCTAAGTCGAGTACATTTACATGTGTTTAATATGTTGATTAATGTACACTGTCCCTTGTTTTGAATAAATCAATTCAATTAAATACAATTTTACATTCCTTCACGGCAATGGACGACTAAAGATCTCGCTGTGAAGAAGACTTAAAAGCTGACCGAATTGGACGTTTCACCAGATTTATAGGCTGCTATTTAGAGACTCTTTTAGGCCCTGCAACGGTGTAACGGTCTCGATCAACAGACGATGGATTGGACCAGAACATTGCTTGCAAAGACAAGATCTTGATGCCATCGTTTTGAAACAGCCACCTTTTATTTGCTCTTCTTCTGAGGCACCTGTTGAAAGAGCCATAATAAAGACCAAATGCAAATAGTGAAAAGTTTGATTGGTTTTTCTATGGCCAATATGCAAAATTGGGGTTTCAGACATCTGCAATAGGACAGCTTCCTCTGCAGTGAAAAGGCAAAACGGTTGGTGTGCATAAGTATAAGTATTGACAATCTTTGTGATTTATCTTTTGGAAGAATGTCTTGAATCCTTTAGCCTCATTAGTGATGATTTGACTAACGTTTATTACTTACTGATCTCTTATACACTTGGTTTGTTGTGCGAGCATACAGAGGAATCAGATTGAATTGATGACAACAACTGAGGACAATATAAATAATAAATAATAATAATGCAGGTTAAAGGTATTTCCACTTTTCAGACCTGAAATACTAAATATTTTCTATTTCTTTACTTTATAAGTTTAAAATATAATGCAAGCTAGCAGCATGAAATCAAACATGCTGGAAGTTTGCATCGCAATGGGATTTTTCAATTGGATTTCAATATATTGCAAAAAACTAGCTCTGTGACAAACACACACTTATTATACTATGGTTTTTCAGCAGCATAATTATTACATCACTTGTTAGACGCTTTTATCCAAAGCGACTTACATACTCAATACTGTGGACAATCCCCACAGGAGCAATTTGGGGGGAAGTGTCTCAGGGACACAACGACATGCTGACTGCAGTGGGGTTTGAACCTGTGACCCCCTGATCCGAACGCACAACCCACTGCGCCACACGCCGCCATCTTCAAAGTCAACTTTATTAAAGTCAAAGTCAACTTTATTGTCAATCTTTCAGTTTGTGTGTACAGACAGAGAGATCGAAATACCGTTTCCCACAATCCCGAATACAACAATACAAATATATATAACAATATGTATACAAATATGTATATACCTATATATATATATATATATATATACACAATCAAAAGACACATATGTGCTCAAGCATACATCAACTTGTTGACTCCAGGAGCTGGGATTGAACCGACAACCTTCCCATTGAA